TAATTGAGAGAGATCCTAGGAGTTTGTCTCTCCTATCTTTTCCTATTTAAGTTGTATGCTCAACATGTTTTTTCAACACATTATCAATACAGAAGTATTTCTTCTTCTCTTCCTCTTTATTTTGCCACATGGTGATTGAAGTTTGGAATCTGTTTTAGCATGTACTAGTGTAAGGGCATGTGCAGAAGTGTGTAAAGATAAAAGCACAAAAAGACAAAAAATATTTAGATTTGAAATTTTTTGTACTGTATTTAAATGTCTTAATTCAGTGGTTAGATTAAGAATGAGAGAAACAATAGTCTAATAATGTTATTTATTTTGTAGGCCAAACTTTTAATACATAATTTAGGAATACGATACCAAATTATATGACAGTGCACATCTGTTCTGACCGTGGTTGCAGAACTCCCTTATGACCCCCTCAATGAAATGCGGGCATGCCAGTTATGTGAATAAAACAAAAATATCACATGAATGGCTTTCCTATCTTCATCTCTGGCATGCTTGTGTTTCATTGAAGGCCACATAGGACTGCTGCAACCACAGTTACAGCAGATGTACTCTCATTAAATGGTACAGCATAGATAATAGAATCTAATTTACCATTTGCTTTTAAGATAAAATTGAAATACCATGTATAAGAGGGCAATCAAACATTAAACTATTAAATGGGATGGGTAAAACAGTTCTCAAAGAGACCAAGAAAACTTATTTTTTCATCACCTAGAAGAATTGACACGTGAAATAAAATAAGTTATAGCTGAAGATAGAGTTGGACTACCTTTTCTCAGATACTAGTTATTTTCACCTTTGATGGACATTTAATTGGCCCCGTTAATCCAATATTTGTATGTGTATGTATAGATATAATTGAATATTGTAGTGCCATATCTAGGTAAAAATGTCATGAGTTTGGGTCCAAAGCCAGTCTTAGTGGACTGGATTAGCTTTAGGCCCTGGCATAGAAATTTTACCTGATCCAAATATCCAATCTATATAGTTTTGTTAGCTCTAGATTAAAATCAAAGAAATAGAAAAAGATGAGATGTCAAGGACACCTACATGAATAAAGAAATCTCTTCCAAATCCCAAAGTTGCATCCGCTTGCAAAGGCAGAAGGTTTCTGGGCCAATATATGTAAAGCGGTCTCTTCATTTTCATCTCGAACTATTGCCAATGGAGGACACTTTGAGAGGATCTCCAAGGCCACATCTGTCAAGAATAAATTAGCAATAATTAAGATATTAGAAGGGACCCACATGATGCATGGATTGGTGTTAGAAGATGTCCCTACTAGGTAAATGGTTATGGAGATTTTCCTTTGAGAGAGAAAGGTTGTGATACATATAGTAAGCATTCATGGGTTGGAAGGCAACAGTTGGGATGGTAAAGTTGCTCCCTACTCTTCTTCAGCTTCTCCTTGGAAAGAAATTCATGAAGTCTACCCAATCTTTCTTACTCCAATAGGGGTATGATGTGGGAAGGGGTGACAAAATACGTTTCTAGGAGGATCTATGGTTGGGCTGTTCCCCACTCAAAGACCAATTTCCTGAACTCTTTGCCATTTATCAGTTTAAAGGTGAGGCCATATCCAGAATGGGAGCACCTTCTCCAACTGGTTTAAACTTGGGGTTTAGAAGGGGGTTAAGGGAAAATGAGTGTTCTTTTTCAATCCACTTACTTGATACTTTAAGGTAGGCTTCTTTGGATTTTACCCTTGAGGACTCTAGTATTTGGCCGGTTTCCAAATGGCCTCTTTACTTGTTCCTCCTTTAAATCCCTTGCTGGGTCTAACACTCAAGGGGTGGACTTCCTAGTGAAAGAAATTTGGAGTAGGCCTGTTGCACTTAAAATTCAAGCTTTCTGCTGGGAATTTTTTCTTGGTAAGGTAAATACTTGTGACATGCGGCAAAAAAGAAGGCCTTTTATTTACCTCTCTCCTCAAATGTGCTTCTTATGTAGGGGTAGTGGTGAGACCTTATCTCATTTACTAATCTCTTGTTCTTTAGTGCATAGAATGATAGAATTTGGGAGTTTTTTAGTCTCTCTTCAGGTACAGGTGGGACCCCTTCAAGATGCAGTGAATCTTTTCAACCCTAACTTCTTGAGGCAACCAAAGAAAAGGGGGAACGTGCACTGGAGAGACACTAAGGCAACAATTTGGGTGATGTGGGAAGAGATGAATAGTAGAATCTTCTTGGAAAAGAGTAGGACTCTGGAGGAAGTAATAGACAACATAAAAATAAAGGTAGTAGTATTGGCAAAGACCTTGGACACCTTCAAAACCTTCTCAGTAACTGGCTTCTTTAGGGCTTGGACTGAAATGTCGCAATCATCGAAAGCACGAGATAGAGTGAGGATGGATTGGCAACCCCCAGAAGGAAACAAAGTAAATAGAATTTTGATGGGAGTTCTCTTGGAAACCTGGGCATGGCTGGAATAGGAAGGGTTATCAGAAATTCTGAGAGGAGGATCTTGGCAATGTTTTCAGGGCCAATTGGTTTGGGAAACTCTTTTAAGGCTGAACTGTTGGCTTTACTGCAAGGCCTCAGGTTAGCTAAACAGCTAGGATTTAGAATGATTGAGGCGGAAGAAGACTCACAAGTAGTTATTTTATGGGCTAAATCCAACAGGCGTATTCCTCGGATCCTTCAACATGTGCCAAGGGAAGTGGAAAAGCTTGCAAAAGAAATAGTGGTCGAATTCAAGTAGGTTAGAACTTAGAAGCAAATGGGTTAGCTGACTCCTTAGCTAAATAAGGGGCTATGAGGCAACAATTGTCTTGGGCATCCATGTAATTTGGGTTTGTAAGTAAGAATTGACACTCGGGTCAAACAAGTTGTATTAATCACTTTTACATTCCAAGTAATATAATAAAATCATTTTTTACTAATAAAAAATATAAAACTATTAGCTTTGACTCCAAATATAAATTTGAAGTTGACAAAAGTACTCTCATTTATAAACATTCAATATGGTTGTATTATCTCAAATTTTAATCTTATTTTAATTTTTCTAGATCTGTCAGCAACTTTTTATTCTCAATTTAATGTTATGATTGGAAAAGCTTATCCCTTAAAGTATAATTCTTTTTTTAGGTAATCAAGAAAGCACCTGCAATAAGTATAAAACAGGGTATTTATGCTCATAAAAGCTATAAATGTCACAAGAGCACTTCTAGTCACCAAAACAACAGCATGTTAGTGGAGTACAACAGATAATTTAACCCCAAACTATAAAGTAATACCAAGAAAAAAGAACAAAACAAACATAAGAAGTGAGGAAGTTAGAGATAAACTCAACGGGAGGTGGTGATCAATCCACACCTTATAAGACCTACTCTTGTAAGAAGGCCAGAAAACAGGTTTTGATTTGGCATGGGGAAAACTCTTGGCAATTTGACTGATCTGTTCAGGGGCATTTTCGTCATTTTGGACAGTCCATGTGGGTCTGGCCCATAGTATCTTGTCCTTATAGTTTAGTAGGGTTTATATTTTAATTTCCGTTTAATTGCATTAGTAGGTAGAAAGTTATTGAGTTTCTTAATGCACAAGATAGGCATGGCATTTTGGTAATTATGAAGAACAATAGTCACGCCCACACAATTCACTATATAAATAGATGTATTCTCTTCCTTTTGAAGCTAATGAAGATTTCTTTACAGTTCTTTTGCAAGCTTACTGTATGGATTATTCCTACAAATTCTAAAGTGAGTCTAGGTCCCTTGGAGTTTCTCTCTCTCTCTCTCTCTACACCTTTTCCTCTCTCTATACTTATTAAAATCACTCAACTCAAAGCATTCTATGTATCAGTGACCCCAAAAACTGATACATGTTGTATGACATGCATCAAATTGTTGCAATATTTTGAACCTTGCATTCTATTTGTAGGGGTCCCTTAAATATAGATCTAACCTTCAGCATTTTTTGCACAAAATGGCTTATCAGCATCCTTCCACGTGCTCCATAGACCACATTAGAAGGGGATTGAAGATACATTAACAAGAGCCACTCAGCTCTAATTCTCCAAAGTGCTGCAAAAAGAGTCTAGCATATTTTGTTTGCTATGAAATTAGACTCCAAAACTTCTTGCCTAAATACAAGGCCTCGGCCCTTGGTCATGGCAACTGGATTCCAAATTTTGAATATGATGACTGACAGAATACACAAATAATAGAGACTGCCTTTTAAAATTTCATATAATAATAAGGGTAAATTACTTATGCTTCCCTAGAATTTCAGTTATTATTTATTCCATCCTTAAGTTTAATAGCCCCTTTTTGTCAAATGACCCTAAACAATAAACATATTATCTTTGCCTCCAAAATATATATTTTAGAATTAACAAAAAGGCCTCCCATTTATAAACATTAAATTCTGTTTTACCAAATCGAGTTTTTACTTTTTTTTAATTTTCTCAATCCTGTTTTTAGCTTTTCATTCATGACTTAACACTATAGCTCTAAAATATATAAATAAAGATATTTTTGTTTGTATAATTGAACACATTAAGGGGATGTTTGGTACCATGGCTATTTCTACTTGAAAAACTGCCACATCGGCACCACTCAAGTGTTTTGAGTTCAGTGGTCAATTTTCTGTTTGGTTGATACTGTTTTGAGTTAAAACAGTAATAAAATGTTGTGGGAGCCAAAGCCTCAATGCCCTGACTGTGTTGTGTTGATGTGGTGCTGACATGGATCAAAAACACATATTTCTCACTAAACAGGATTCAAATAGAAATAGTGGTCTTTGTGTTTCAAGTATAAATGGCATTTCAACTTAAAAACAGTGTTGGTTGAAACACAAATGTTACCAAACACAACCTAAGTTCTAAATGCAAATTGAACACATTCCATCCTAGAACTGTGGGCATGTTAATGGAGGGATGAAGTAACTTGACCCCAACCTAAAAGGGATGAGTAAGTGCATTGGTAAACAGAAGGGGAGGTCTTCTCTTATCATATTCATCCACTGACGTTTAAAAGTTTATCAAATCATAGACCCACCAACCCCCACCCTACAAGAATTTAATGAATTTCCATTGGTTAGAGTAATGGCAAAGTGTACGAGATCTGGACTCAGTCGTGGCATAAATAATTTACTTGTCAGAAGATGAGGTCCTGCTCATCTTGCAAGGAGGAGGAGGAGGAGGAGAAGGAAGAACAAGAACAAGAACAAGAACAAGAACAAGAACAAGAACAAGAACAAGAACAAGAACAAGAACAAGAACAAGAACAAGAAGGAGGACTGTTGCTTACTGAATAAATTGGTTGTGACGGTAGCAATTAGAAGCTTGACAAGGTCGTGCTCTGTCAAAAAATTCTTAGAGGCAGAGTAAAGATACCAAACCATGTCCCTATGGCCTAGCAAAGTGGCCACATAAAGTGGTGTCGCTCCTTTATTACCCCTAATTCCTGGCAATTTTGGATTCTTTGCTACCATTACCTTTGCAATCTGGGTAATTCCTGAAGCTGCTGCAAAACAGAGAGCTGTATTGTCATCCTTGTTTTTCAGTTCTAGGTCTTCTCGATGCATCAACTTAACTAATTCCTCTACAAAGTGTACTCGTCTCGCTCCGGCTGCAATGTGCAGAGCAGTCTCTGAAGCATTTGTGATTCTAGCAGTTACAATACTTCTGTAATCGTATATGAGGGCACTATTTGGCCCATAATGTTGGCATATCTCTTTTTGCTGCTCTTGAAGAAACTTTTCTGCTCTTTCCCAATCACCTTTAAGTGCTGCTTGATACAGGGGGACGTATCTGACAAGATTTGCATGTGGAGTTATTGCTGCAAACATTTAGCAATAAACATGTAAAAAATCAAACTATTTAAAAATGAACAATTCTACAATAAGTAAATTTTTAAGTATGCAAAGTGCAACATGAGCTGCAAAAGTTGCTTAATGTGTACTGTACCACAGACACATAGGGAGCTGGATCTGCTGTGTCTGCTATGCTGTGAAATAGGCTGTCTCCAATATGATCTAGACAGGTTTAAAGGCATCACTCTAAACAATCTTCTAAGAGAATGGACAGCTGTTGCAGATTTCCAAATCAGAAAACCTGAAAGAACCGTTAGATGGTGCGAACCAATAGAGCACAAGAGTAAGTTCAACTTTGACGGATGCAGCCTCAGGAACCCTGGAGATTCACGTATTAGAGTTGTTTGGGACTAAATGGGCAGATTTTACTCAGCTTTTCTGGTCCAATAGGTTTTGGAAACTCTCTTAGAGCTGAGATGCATGCTCTTCTTCAGGGTTTAGAACTGATGATTGCATGGAGCATGAGAGAAATAGAGACGGAAGGAAATTGCCAAACTATAATATGTTGGATGAGATCACAAGGCATAATGCCTTTGGAGTTTAGGCCAATGGTAAGACAGGCAAAACCATGACTGCCACTTTGAATAGCTCATTCAACTGGGTGCCTAGGAGTCCCGATGGCATAGAAGACACTTTAGCAAGGGCTGGGGTGGCAAAAGATTATTTAGAATGGGGTTGCCCTGGACTAGGGAGCAATCCATAAAAAGCTAATAGTTGGAATTTTATTTATTTTCTGGTTGTTTTCTTTTTGGAAAAGGTAAAGTAATTTTATTCAACTCAAAAACTTATAAACTGGGATCAGGCCCAGAAGGGCAGCCTGAAGACTACAGCAGTTACACTTTCCACCAGAAATCAGAACAATTAAAAGAAGATAAATTCAGATTTTTAAATTCCTCAGATACGATATCCAAGAAATCAGTTTGCCCACAGCTCTTTGAATGGTATCTTCAGGACTTTTGCCTTTCTTACTGAAGATTCTACTGTTCCTCTCAGCCCAAATGGACCATAAGACAGCAGCAGGAATAGTCCTCCACACCAGGCTCCCTTTCTTACTAAGGCCTCTCACCTTCCAACAACCGAGGATATCTTAACCGATCTGGGCATTACCCAACTGAACTCCAAGACTCTGAGAAAGTATCCCCAAATCTGAGAGGAAAATGGACAATGAATCCATAAATGATCCACCAATTCAGCATGTTGCCCACAACCTATATTGGAGTTAGCTTTTCTAGTCTTGGTCTGCTGCTGTTTGGGAGCAAACAGGTTTTTCTTCTATTAATGAATTACTACTACTGTTGCTTATCAAAAAAAAAATATTACTACCTTTGAGGCTTTTTAACAAAAAACCTATAGAGCATATATCAGTAGGGCACTTGTCACCTACAAAAGGGAGCCAGGATTTATATGGAGGGTGTGTTAGACAGTTGTATGCCCTTAGCTTCAATCAGAAATATGTACATTATGAATTTATTGTAAATGAATAAAGTACACATTTGATTCATGTTCCTGTGGTGTGTTTCTGTGTAATACCCTTAAACTGGACACTTAATGAGACTTGTGTTAGTTTAGAATGTTCACAGCCATTGGGTA